GGATGTGAATTGCTCTCATCCCCCCCCCCCCCTTTAGTTTGTTCTGGAGCACTTTAGTTACTCTATTTGCATCATTCCAGATCAAGTTGATGTTTAATTACTACAGTAAACTGCAGGAAAACACTTGCTAAGAATCCTGATCAACTTTGAATTCCAAACCCCAGCAATTAACAACTATATTCGACCAACAACAGATAACTTTTCAGGAACAACAGGGAACTCACTCAAAACCATGATGATGGACAATTCAAAATCAGGTCCCATGAAATGAAGGCCACTGTATTGCTAAGTTTTTGCACCAGAATAAGGTCAAAAAAGTTGCATAAGTAATGGCTATTCATACAACAACTCAATTAGAGAGCATTCTCGAGATGCGAGTAGAAAATTTTCATATGAACCCAGGTTGTTCAATTTTCACTTTTGCTATACAATGCAAAGCCTAAAGTTAAGAAGTAAAAACTACAATACTATGTAAGGAGGAGGAGAGAATAATATAAAGAGAGAGAAAAAGAATGAAAGATGAGATTCATGAGAATAATCTATACGTGAGCTATGTTGTCTTAAACTCTCTTATTTATAATAAACTAACATTATGAGTAATTACATTATTACCCTACACTTCTAATGATATAAAATAAGCACTCTAACACCTGATATCAACCTTTGTTGCAAATTGAATATGCAAACACTATCCCAAGGAGTTGAAGAAAATAGAGAAGAAAGAGGAGGGAGAGGGGGGGGAGGGATAATTGCGTTACATACTTGTATAACATACCATGATAATAATCCAAGTAAAACAGTGAAAGGCTTACCAGCATTGGCTGGTATAGTCCAGGGGGTTGTAGTCCAAATGGCCAAGTACAAATTCGGGGAAAACTCCTCCAATAAGCCATCAGACGTAGGAGCACTGGCTAATCTGAATATGGCATACATGCTCTTTGAAACATGCCCCTCTGGATACTGCACATAAACTTTAAATCAAGTCAGAGAACAATTATGCCAACAAAAAAGTAGCTTGAACTATGTTTAGTTTCACCCTTTAGAAAAATTAGCAGTAAACTGCATTCCAAATTGTAGCAATTTCCAGTGGCAGAAGACACGATTATTAAACACTGAAAAATTGGAAACACAGAAGAGAAACTAGAAATCAAATGTTCATTTACCTCCAACTCAGCCTCTGCAAGAGCAGTTCGTGATGACGGACTCCAGTGAACTGGTTTTCTGCCTCTGTAGATATACCCTTGAAAGGCCATCTGGCCAAACACTTCAATCTAATAGACATCATGTGGCAAAAGAAAAAATATCTTAAGAACCTCAAATATTTCAACTGATAGGTCAGATAATTTTCCATGAGCTACAATATAGAGGAGTGTTTTGTAAAGCTATGAAAGTCCAACCATCAAGAGCAACGTGATGATGAGTCACAATTCATGACTGCAAGTTTAGTTAGTTTTAAGAAACTCAAGCGATAACAAGACCCAGCAAAAAGCTATACCAGCTACCTGAGCAGCTTCATATTCTGGATCAAGAGTTAGATAAGGATGATCCCAGTCTCCCCACACTCCATATCGCTGTAAACATACAATATATTTTCTTAGTGTTCAAGTATTTCCTAAAAAACTCTAAGCACAAACTTGTAACTGGGAAATATTTCTTTCAGATTTAAAAATCAATGAGTTAGTCATCCTTGTTAGTAACTTCACAGAGATTACAGAAGGCATTTTGCAAAGTATTACTTTAAGATTTACATATGGATAATAAAGTTTAAACTTCAGTAAAACCTTAAATGATGCCATCTGAGTCTTCACAGTCGCTTTGGCAAATTTGGTCGCCTTTGCTCTCAACTTTAATGGTGTCAACTCCTTTCTTGCATCTTGATCCAATGACTGCAACACTGAAATAATTCAACACAGCTGTCAAATCACCAAAAAATATGAATTAGGAAGCTTTCTTTAGGTTTCCACATTAAAGCCTTGAGAATAAAGTTAGACATCAACTAATAACAAAGTTCAACACCTTGTCTAACAATCACTCATGTTACAGCTATATCAGATGCAAATTAAGGGCACTTTTGGAGAAATTGGAATTAAAAGTTCCTTCCTGTGTAACAAATATATGAATGCTCAAGAACGAAAAAGCCTTTTAAGAGGCAATTTCTTTGTTCTCTTGGCCATCATAAATGATGCATATGAAGCCCTTCAACATGTCCATAGTTTTCAATATTCAAATGCTTATGCTCCCACAATAACATAGTGGAAACGATGAGAGAGAACTATGCTGCTAAAGGAATTAATAACTACCAACTTTGCTGATAAGCGAAGGGCATTGCCGAGGTTCAAAAGGGCAGAATTAGTTACATAGACAAAACAAAGATACTGTTGTAATTGGCTAATTTCATGAAGTCTTATGTAAATCTCAACCTAATTCCATGCTCATGAATTTTCAAAGATCAAAATCCTTAAGCTTCAATGAAGGGAGGAGTTCAAGCTACAAAGCCTGGTCATGAGTTCTCCAATGCACCTTCAAATTTAGGACAAAGGTAATAACTTAGAGACTTAGATCCATTGATTTAATTTTAGACTTAAGATAATTAGGGTTATGAAAATGGAATTGAAAAAATCCATAAATGACTTCTAGGATTTTTTATTGAAATTTTTTTTTTAAATCTTAAATGTATTTTGAAAATATAACTTTAGTCATTTATCGGACCCTACATGAACAACACTCTTTAGTGCTTAAGAGGACTAATTTTTACTTGGTTTTCGATTTTAAAACCAATAAGGACCGCCCTCTACTCACTTGCTTTCGACTAGAGCGCTCTTTGAACACAATGGAGACCACCCTCTGGCCGCTTAAGTGGTTTAAAGTGGTTTGCAGAAGGTTCGAGCGGCCCTCGAACGACTCGAGCAGTCTTTGTTTGCGTTTGGATTATTTTTCCATTCCAGTAACAATTGCGCCCTCACCGCTCTCTCACAGTTCAAGCAGTCGTTCGTTTAGTTCACTTGGTCCCCAAGATTAACCTAATTCCGAACCTATAAATATAGGAAGCCTTCACAAGCTAGGGAATCTTGTTTGTGAGCATATTTCATGTCCCTTAAACCTTAAGAAATTATCTAAAAAACCTAGATCCCTAAGACCAAAGCTTCTCCATCATAAATCTCTAATTCAAATTCACACCTTGAAAAAGTTCTTGCTTGGAATTATAAAATCCATTGAAGGAGTGTGCATCCCGATGATCTTGGCAGAGAAGGTTGCTTGAAGAACCTAAATGATCCATTGTGGTGGAGGCGTTCAAGTGAAACTATCCCTAGCAGGGGAATTCGAAGGAGAGATTTATTGAAGGAAATGAGCATCTAGCCATGGTATTGATTAAGATATAATTTCGAGTATTTGTAAATTGACTTTGGGTAAGTGGATCAGGCTTGGTGAACCCCGAGTGGTTCACTACGATTTTTCCTGGTTGGCTTTCTACGTCAATAAATGACTTATGTTCTTTACTTGTTTTATTTTACATATACACTAGCAATTGCACACATGCGCACTATGTGTTGAAATGAATAATTATTTATCTTTCAATTCATAAAAAAGGGTTTTGTAATCAATTGGCTTTGGTTGGGATGATGAATTAGAATGCAAATCAATTAATTGACATATTCATACATCCATTCACATGCGCGGTTTTTGAGTTGTTAAAAAGGGTTCAAGTTCAAGCACGTAATTGACCAATTAACTTTGAATTTAGTAATTGTAGTAGATTAGGTTAAATTGGTGACTATTCGTGCCGTAATTTGAATTAACCTATTCACTTTCTCCCCCACTAGGTTGTGTCTAGCATCTCATGTGTATAATCGTGACGGAAGATCATTACACATATCTCTTCCCTAGAAATTGTTGAAACAGTCAAAACGTTTGTTTCCATAGAAATCGAGACGAATCAGTGATTGAATATTGGAATTCTTATATTTTGAAATGTTTTGAAGTGTTTTAAGATGTTTGGAAATGTTTCAGAAACAAATTCTCAATTTTTTTCTCCGTTAGGGTTCTTTTTCTAAATTGTTTTTGACACATTTTCAAATCGTTTTTGTTTCCTAGGTGACCAAAACAATGCACCAAAATGAAATTTCGATCCTTGCCCGAAACCAACTCAAATTGGCCCCGACTTGAGCTTCACTCGCAGTATGGCAGAAACTGTGGTTTAAATCTAGGTTTCAGTTCACATAAATCATTAAAGCATAATTCCATCTTTATTTACTTGTATATGCTACTGCATATTACATTGAATATTGATCTCACAGTCTAGTTTTCCTGCTGATATAATAAGTCAAGCTTCATGCTTTAGATAACACATAAACTTCGTAGCAATTCAATCCACACAAAGAGAAAAACATTAATTCACAAGATGTTTGAAGGTGAATCTAATATTTTCCATTGAACACTGCAAAAGATTGAAGAAATGTCATGATAACTTATTTACCTTTATTCTAATATCTATACACCATATATTCTTGTACCCCATTTTAATATGTCAATTTCTCGAATGTCTAAATTATGCATACCAGAGCCAATATTTGGATGAAAATTTTCATTGTTTACATGTAAGCATATGCAGCAGCATCAAGACAATTAAACCAAAATGAAGATTGAGTGGAGCAAATGTTAGCCAAACAAGAACGAAATGTAATACTCGCCTTTCAACTCAATTGGTAGCCCATGGCAATCCCAACCAGGCACATAATGAACTTTGCAGTTTTGAAGAAGCTGCAACAAAAAACAAGAGAATTAATATGGAAGTATGGTAACAACTTGACTATTTGTGTCAGTACTAATATGCACCTTTGTGTGTGTGTATGTGTGTCCATTAGCCATCTTCTTTTTTTTGAATTGTAATTTTGGTCTCTTTCCTCAACGTCAAAATAGTTATAGCTCTGTAGTGAATCATAACCACATAAATATTCCTCACAATGTTGCCAACAAAAACCACAATAAGTCATTTGAGTATGCCCCTCAGTACAGAGAAAGCAAATAAGAGTTGTGTGCCTGCTACCTCATGCCTGAGTGAAAACGGAGGATAGTAAGAAAAAAGTGGGTGTATTTTCTATCAGGGTAAAAAAAACGAACTTCTCTGAAGTCAACTTAATCGAAGGGTCTCCTATGAAAGAAAGATGAATCTGACCTCCATTTTTCTTGTGCTTCGATAAGAGTGCCCCATTTGTTAATCAGCTGACGGAAATGGATGGAAATTGCACTAGCATCTCACATTTGTTTTTGGAAATTACAGAAAAATGGACAAATTCAAGGATGTCATTCATGTAAAACAACTACTATATCGTCACTCCCCAACCTAATCCATCAAAAGCATGCCCCCGCAGCACCAGCAGTAACTGCATTGGTCGCCAACCACACACCATCTCCCTTCTCTTCCTATTTGTCTCTCTTTTTCGCTCCCATTCTTCTCTACTAAACCAACAAGATCAAACCCCACTGCATAACTATCATTCTATAGGTGATGGCGGTTGAGAGGTCAACCCAAGTTTTAAAACTCTAAACCGAGCTCAATCTTCCCCAAATTTCACTCGACCCTTTGAACCCGATTTCTACGATGTTAATTTTAAACTCTGCTATAACTCCGATTACACATCTTAAGTTAAAATCTGGGTGTTCAGTTTGGGTTTGATTTTTTGGGTTGAACGCAATTCACTCATTCAAGTTGAGTTCGAATTAGGTCCCAAAAACCCAACTCCCGAGACCCCAACACAAGGACTGCCCAAATTTAGATCGGGTAGGGATTTATTTGCCTGTCCAACCCAAGAATTAAAAATTTTCGTCCACATAGCAAATATTTCAGTTTGAGCTTGAATTTAACCACCCAAGTTGCACCTCGAGAAGTGGTACAATTTTTATCATGGTGCAAGCCTAGCACTACAAGCAAGAAGATTGGGGAGTAGCCCAGTTGTGCCCTTTATTGTTGGCAAAGAAGTATTAAAGACTATTTGAAAAGATACATCAAACTACAGCTTTTTCAGTTGAGTGCCCTATTTGCAGGTTGCTAGATAGTAGTTGTAGGAGCTTGGTTAGATATCTAGGTAAAGATTTCTCTTCATTAGAGGATATGCATTTGCTTTTGTCCTTGTATGTGTTGTGCTTACATAGGAGCCCCACCCCATCCACAATGATGCTTTCTTGCTTAGCAATTTACCTTTTTTCTCTTTTGATCGATGAAAATAACTAATAGAGCACCAAAGGGGTGCAACCATGTAGAGATGGTATACCCAATTCTTTTTGCTCTACTATTGGACTATATATGGGTAGTTTGAGGCAACATGAACTTTTTCTATGCATCTGTCCTGCGTAAATAATAATTTATTGGCCATCCTAATGCATACAAAGCAAAACAACCCACCAAAACATTCATTATTTTTGAAAATTTAAATTCCAATTGTGTTTCCCATTTTAGTCAGTGATAGGGGCTATTCCAGTTCTTGGTATTGAAAGAGGCTCTAAATTTTGCAAGATTACCCACACTAAAAGCACAATAGCATGAGTGCATACTCAAAGAAATATCCCTTTGTATTTAAGTCCAATGGGGCAAGCCAATGATGTAGGACTAAGCACATGCAAGCAACGCATGGTTTCATATCACCGCAACCGAATGTTCACAAGGATACACAATCATCAGATCATGCAGACATATGCATTCAATACCTGAACCCATGTGAAATGTGCCCACATAACAATAATTTTGCAGGGATGGACAGTAATTGAAAAGCAAGCATAACAAAGATAAAGCAGGCTGCAATGAATACCTTATAGCGGTTAATAATATCCTTCAAAATCTTATTTAAAGCATGACCCATGTGTAAATCACCATTTGCATAAGGAGGACCATCATGAAGAATGAAACTGCCCTGTCAAATCATTTAACATCAGCTAAAAATTCAACAACTGTACAACAGAAGTTCAAGCAAATCTACAAAACTTACACCATTATTCCTGTCGATTACTCTCCTAAAGACCTGATTTTCCTCCCATAACTTCTGAATTTCAGGCTCCCTTACTACAGAGTTCGCCCTCATGCCAAATGTGGTTTTAGGCAGATCAACTGTGTGCTTGTACCTCCCATCTTCCTTATTTGCTCCTGAACAATATCATGCATGTCAATCTATTTACACAAAACAAAAAGTTGCCTCTTCAGTAAAGTGGGGAAAATAATGCACAGGAGATCCCATCAGAGCATTAGGAGTCAGAATGCACTGTGAGTACCATATAGAGATAATGTTTCGCATTTTGCTTTTCAAATAAACAAATTTGTACCTTCAGAAGCTTTCTTCGCTGCCATTACAGGTCCACGAGATCTTCGCTTTGATGAAGTGCAAAACTCATTGCTGGAATAAGTAGAATAGTATGTGATGTTAACAAGAGAAAATATTTTAGCTGAAGAGCTTCTTCTAAAATATAATAAGCCAACAGGGGTAGATTTCCTAAGAGATGCGCAACTTCTCAGCGACAGAACCTGAGGGACAGACACTGTATTAGATGCTACTTAGATAATAATACCCGTAATCCAGATAAAACTATAATAAGATTCAAAATTAATGCTCAAAAAGGAAGCCAACAAAAGACTTTAGCCTGAAAATAACAATGTCTTATTTCAGAGTGAGAAAATATGTCAATTTTGTTACATTCTCAATCAAGAGAGACAAAGAAGCATGAAAAACTGCAAGTGATTAATATGTTATGAGAAATATGTGTGTTTTATAAATACAATAAACTTTATCTCATGAAAAACATGCTTATGTACAAATTATAAAAATGTAGTGATCAAGGTGGATCCAGTCTCTTTCACCAAACCCAACAACTAAGTGGAAGAGTCACAAGATTACAGCTTCTATTGTTCAATAATTTTTTATGCATAAGTTCCATGGACATAGGCCATATAAGACCTAGAAGCATCCTATCTAATCATCCTTGAGGTGCCAACTAGGTTTGACTAACAAATGCTCACTACCACAAAATGCAAAGAGATCATTTGCCCTCAATTCTTTCATTTTGGTATCTAGCACTCTATGACTAAAAAAGGCGTACACAGTGCATGAGGTTCTCGCCATTAAAGGGTCTAAAGAGGGTTGGATGTACGTAGTCTTACCGTTGAAAGCAGAAAGATTGTTTATGTGATTCAAACCCGTGACCTTCAGGTCACAATGGAGCAACCTCACCGCCAAGGCCCGCCCTCATCTTGGAGCCTATGACTATCCATCAAAAAATAATTTTCACTCCCAAAAATGCAACCAACGCCTTGGTGAATCTACATCCCTATAACAGCTCCAATGTATTTTTAATTCATTCTAACCAATAACTAAGAATTCCCAACTATAACCAACTGGATCCACATCATTCCTCCTTCCCATAAATGCAAGAAGAGCTTTGGTGGCATACTTTCGATCACATTAAACCTCCTCCAATTGGATCTAGAAGCGATTACAAAAATAAAGGAAAGTGAGAGCTCATGCCCCAGAAAGAAACTCTCCTATCCTTTTCCTCTCTCTCTTCATAAGCATCAAACAAAGCCCTATGCTATGCTAGTTGCCATTCTGTTTATGTAAAATAATGGGAGGGATAAACTAGATACAGATCTAACATTCCCCCACTACACAAAGTGGTTACTCTCATACTCAAATTGCATTCTCAAATCCACATTTTGATGCTTCACAGTCCAACCATTTAAGTAACCATTGGTCCCCTGATTGAACTAAGCATGGAATCGACAAATTATCAAGTTGTATTTTTCTTTCCAGTAAGTTCACAGAGCATGAACTTTGTGAAAGAAGAGATCCATTAACAAACTTCATAGTTAATATTTTCACCATGTTTTTCTCCACCCATTGGTTCCATGATTAAAATAACAGTAACCCTTTTCCAGTATACATACACATGGGTGAATTATAAGAGTAAAAACACCTATACAAGTCCAAATGACCTCTGATCAAGCAACTGGCATGCTACCAATTCTAGTAGTTTATCCAATTTGATTTTACTCTAAAACTAATATACTCATTTAGCACATGCACAAAAAGTGGCTATTCAGATTACCACATAACAAAATTATTATCATAAGAATCCCAAACTCATCCAGAACTGGAAATCTTCGACCATTTCAACCGATACATATATTCATGTTAAATCACACCATGAATATGCGACAAAATAAAACATCGAGAGAGAGATTGCCAAACCACAGTGTTCACATAAACACTTACAGTATAAGAAGATGAAGTGTACACGGCCATTTTGACTTCGCTCGAATTCAATGCGAATTAGTTTATGTGACAGAAGGGTTTAAAGGACGTGGCTTCCATTCATTCGGGGAGGCTTCTCCATCGTAGGAAGTGAAACTTTGTGGATAAATTAACAAGTGCCGCAGACCGTTTCAGCTTAAAATCTACTCGAATGGTTTTTAATTACAATTTCTACCCTTCAATTTTATCCTTTGTTGAAATCAACTTTATATAGTTTTAAATATTATAATTTGTCCACTTAAAATTTCAAGTGGACTAAACATGATGGTGTGTCACTTAAGGCATCTCCAATGTCAACTCAAACTCAAACTCTGAATAAAAAGTTTAATTTGGTACAAGGTATTTTAATAGACAAACTTAAATTTTAGTAGAGCAAACTCAAATTTAAAGAAAAATAAAATATAATCGTTAAATCTATAAAATAGTAAAATCTGATAATTAAATATTTGAGTCTGCTTTGATTTGAGTAAAAAATTAAATATTTACTACAAGTTTGAGTCAAAAACTAAAATTTTATTTTTAATCTATTTTTACTCAAAATTTAAATTTGAGTAAATGATGGAATAAGGGGTGAAAATGACCTTTAACATATTCCTACCATCAAATTAATCCAAAGTTTTATATCCCACAACCACTACTCATCCAAAAGATAAATAGCCAGAGGGCCTTGAAAATCAGTTTAATAATTTCAAGGGTATTTAAAATGGTAACAGAGATTACCAGTAATCTCAGCCATTAGCCAAATCAAGAGGAATTTACAACTTAGTACCTGTGTGGACGACTTGTCTATAACAATTCAAGGAGGAGGGATAGACGCGACACATAATGAACACAAAATTAATGAGTTGGATACGAAATTAAACAAGTTAATAGGGTAAAATGGATCAACATGCTTAAATATGAAAAAAATAATATCGGGTTTATGTCAAAATCATGTCAACCTGATTTTGACCTAATTAATTCGTATTTTTTAAACGGATTGACATGATTCAAACACGAATCTAATCTAACTCATTGTTGACCCATTTATAGGAATATTATTTGTCTATTATGTATGACTAATGTGATCTTAACATTATTACTTATTAGTTATTGTTTCTATTATGATAATTGACATTATGATTCTTAACATTATTATGACAGTATACTAGCATATTTTTTTCTTTAATTTTTGAGTTGAAACTTAAATGTATTTTAGTTAATTTTATTGATAAGATATGATATGTTATTTGTAAAAAAATTATTTAAAATTTTGGATGAATGATTGAATAATATATTTAATGGTAATTAACTGATATAAAAATAGGTTATATATGTTAAACAAGTCTATGTTATATGTACTAAATAAATTAAACATATTATGTTATGTGTGTTAACTCGAAAATGACCTGTTTATTAAATATGTCAAACAAATCGGGTTCGGGTAACCTATTTAATAGCCAAGTCAAGTTAGTGTTTTCATATCTCGACACAATTATTAAACATGTCAGGTTTAAGTTTTAGAATTTTTGACACAAACTTGAAACCAACTTGATACATTCGACACCCCAAAATTAGTCCACTATGAATAATCTGACTCAAACACCGTGACAGTTGAAAAAAAATTCATCTTATCAATCTCATTCTGAAAAATCTATAAGGTTCGTTTGTTTATTAGGAGAATAGTAGAAAATGCAAAAAAGACAATTTTTTAAAAATTTTCATATGTTTGGTTAGCATGAAAAGAAAAATAATAATAGAAAAAATAAATTTATTTCATGCCTGAATTTTCTTATAAATAACCAATTTTTTTTCTTATAAAAAATACAAGAAAATACAAGAAAATTATAATCTATAACTAACTTCTCATTTTACTCTTATTTTTCTTAAAATATTTTATTGATCATTAATTTTAAAAAATTGTGGTATAAATTTGATTAATTATATAATTTTGCCCAAAGGCTTTTGTGTTGATGATTGTCTTAAAATTAGGTTTCGAACTATTTTTTTAAAATTTTGTAACTTTTAATTATAATTACATTTTTTTAGACCGATTTAATATAACTAAGGATAATTTAGACACTTAAAAAAAAATTTATAACTTTACTTTATTTTAAACAATAGAATAAAAAATTTTTAAAACTTTTCTATAAATTTTTCATTATAACAAAATACATGCATAAAAATATATTTTAAATCATTTACTTCTTTTTTTTTTTTCCCTCACTTTCTGTTATTTTCGGTTTCGATATTTTTTTCTTTCTAACCAAAGGACCCTGATGTTGTCAATGAAGAACGGCGTTGGCCTTCCCCAAGAGATCGTCACGGACATACTCTCTCGACTCCCTGCAAACTCCATCGGCCAGTTCAGATGTATATCTATGCTATGGCGGTCTCAACTCTCATCCCCAGAGCTCATCAAAGCACACCTCAACCGAAACACCCACTATGAAAAACTCATCCTCATCTCTTGCAACCACTCTCTCTTCTCCCTCACCTTGAACAACAATCCACTTGAGTCTGATTCAGTTGCAACGAAGCTTAATTTTCAAGAATCCAATAACTGGGGCGAGGTCGTTGGTTCCTGTAATGACTTGCTCTTAGTGATCAACGGAGAAGATAAAAAGTTTCTGCTAAAACCAACAACAAGAGAGTCCAAGAAATTGCCTGACTCGTCGTTTGCTCTTGACCCTTTTGCTAGTTTCATCATGTATGGACTTGGTTTTGATTCATCGATCGATGATTACAAGGTAGTGACACTTTCTTCCAATGACACAGATAATGAACACGAACCTGATTGCACAAATATGTTTGAGAATGTTTACTCACTAAAATCAAACAGTTGGAAGAGAGTTCAAAATTCCCCTTACGATCATGCCGTTGCGCTGATTTCATCCGAGATTTATGTAAATGGGTGTGTGCATTGGCTAGCTTCGAGGGTTTCGGATTATTTGTTAGTAACCGCTGCTTTTGATTTGGGGGATGAGAAGTTTCGGGAGGTGGCAGCCCCTAGTTCGCTTGATAAAGATAAGTTTGTGTATAATAAACTTTTGGTTCTTGGAGGGTGTCTTTGTATGCTCGATCGAAACCAGACTGATCTTTGGGTGATGAAAGAGTATGGTGTGGAGGAGTCTTGGACCAAATATATGATCTGTGTACCTGATGCATGTGAAATTACACCCTTGTGCTTATGGGGAGATGAGGTAGTTTTGCTGGATTTGGATGGAGAGAGATTAAATGTGTACAATTTGAAGGAAGAAACATCAAGGAATTTGGTGGTTCTTGGTGCTCCCAATAAGTTTGAATATGGGGAAAGTTTTGTGGAAAGCCTTGTCTCGCCCGATCGCGGCAATGAGATAAGAGGGGTTGAATGAAGTTTGAGGATTGAGCAGTGTATGAGATAGGTAGAACGATGAATGTGCTTGTTTGTTATTTAATTTTTTGTGAATTAATCTATGTGATTTGTCATTATGCTTTAGAGTTTGTAGAATTTGCAAAACCATGTGTATGAAACAGAGGATGGTAGCTGCGTATTAATCTATATCAAGGAGCATCAGGTTGGCTTTGAAGCATTTGTATGTTACTGGCATTTTGTGTTGGGTTTCTTTTGTGAGTCTAGTTTGTGTGTGATCTGGATGATGACCCAACTCAAAAAATGTTGTATGATTTTTTAATGAAAATTTTCTGAGGCTTAATCCATAGAGGTATCGGCCCAAGCCGTAGCACTCATGTTGCCCCCAAGAAAAAATTTTGGCCCGTTTTTGTAGTCCTGTGCGCAGGACATATATAAGTTGTTATTCGGTGATTAGAGTTTTTTGGATTGAGATTGTACGGCCACCGCCCTCTCTGTATTCTTTCTTGAGAATAGTGAAATTCCTGCAGTGTCGTGGACGTAAGCAAATTATCGAACCATGTAAATTTTGTGTTGTGTGATTGTTTGGATTGCATTCTTATCATTTTTTTTTTATTAATTTCACTTTATTGTCATCATTTGGTTACACAACAATTGGTATTAGAGCCAAGGTTTGGGTTTGAAATAAACAATGGCTGAAGAAGAAGTGGAGACATCTGGGATTGAGAAGTTCGATAGCATAGATTATAGGTACTGGAGGATGCAGATAGAGGACTACCTCTATGGGAAGAAACTTCATCTTCCACTATTGGAGACGAACCAGAGAGTATGAAGGATGAAGACAGAAAATTGTTAGACCGACAGGTTCTGGGGGTTATTCGGCTGACCCTTTCAAGATCAGTTGCACACAACGTTACCAAGGAAAAAGACCATTGCAGATCTCATGGCGGCTTTATCAGGTATGTATGAAAAGCCTTCTGCGAATAACAAAGTGCATCTTATGAAAAAGTTATTCAATCTAAGGATGGCAGATGGTACGTCTGTTACCCGACACCTGAATGAGTTTAATACCATCACTAATCAATTATCATTTGTTGAAATTGAATTTTATGATGAGATTCGGGCCCTGATATTGTTGGCATCACTGCCAAACAGTTGGAAATCCATGACGATGGTTGTTAGTAATTCTGGTGGTAAGATGAAACTTAAATACGATAATATTCATGATTTAATTTTGGCTAAGGAGGTGCGCAGGAAAGATTCTGGTAAGACCTCAGGATCGAGTTCTACTCTGACTGTTGACACTCGTGGGAGGTCATATGACAGGAACTACTCAAATAGAGGAAGATCAAAATCAAAGGAACAGGGGCAAGAGTAAGTCGAGGTCTGGACAACAGCAGACAACTTGCTAGAATTGTGGCAAAATTGGCCACATAAAGAAGAACTGCAAAAATTTGAAAAAGACGGAAGACGATGGTGCGAATGCAATGGCTGAAGAAGTGCAACACGCACTATTACTCGTAGTTCATAGTCCATTTGATGACTAGATACTGGATTCATGGGCATCTTTTCATACCTCCTCTCATCAAGAAATCATGCGGAATTATGTTGCTGGTGATTTCGAGAAAATATACCTGGCTGACGGACAGGCACTAAACATAGTAGGGACAAGAGATGTTGATATTACACTTCCTAATAGGAACATGTGGACCTTGTAGAAGGTCAGACACATTCCCGAGTTGAAGAAAAATCTTATATCTGTGGCACAACTCGATGACAGTGGTCACTCAGTAGTGTTCTCAAATAGCACCTGAAAAGTTTCTAAAGGAGCACTGGTGATGACCTGGGGTAACAAGACTGACACTTTGTACATGACAGGCGGTTCCAATGATACTATTGCCACCACCACTGTAGAGAGTACTACAGAGTTGTGGCATTGCAGACTTGGTCATATGAGTCAGAAAGGTATGAAGGAACTCATGTCAAAAGGCAAGCGATCAGAACTGAAAGTAGTTGATTTGGGCATATGTGAGAGTTGTATACTTGGGAAGCAGAAAAATGTCAGTTTCTTGAAGAGTGGTAGAGCTCTGAAATCAGAAAAATTGGATCTAGTACACACAGATGTATGAGGACTCTCCCCAGTGACATCCCTTGGAGGTTCTCGATACTACGTCACGTTCATTGACGACTACAGTAGAAAGGTATGGATTTATTTTTTGAAACATAAATATGACGTGTTTTGTAGCCCTGTGCGTAGGACATATATAAGTTGTTATTCGATGATTAGGATTTTTTAGATTGAGACTATACAGCCGCCGCCCTCTATGTATTCTTTCTTGAGAATAGTGAAATTCTTGCAGTGTCGTGAACGTAGGCAAATTACCGATTCACGTAAATTCTGTGTTGTGTGATTGTTTGGATTGCATTCTTATTGTTCTTTTCATTAATTTCACTTTGTTGTCATCGTTTGATTACACAACATTTAGTAGACTTGGTTCGGTTATTTTCATTTGTCTTTTTCTATTGGTGGTGAGGTATATGAAGGAACGAATCAATGGATTGAAGAATGAAAGCAAAAACACAAAGGGAACCAGGCTTTTTTTTTTTTTTTTGTGTGTTTTGCAATGTTTATCTGATTTTAGACATTTATTGATTGACTATGGTGTTGATTTGTGTATGAAAGTTCATTTTGTGAAGCCTTCATGGTAAGGGATCATTGGAGCTGTGTAATATGTGTGACACCCCAAAAATTGGGGGTCTTTAATTTAACCAAATTTGGACAGAGTTTCATTTGTATGAGGAGCTCTATCCAAAACTTAATTTGTACAATATACATTAATACGACCCATCCGATGCCTGATATAACACAATGATCGCACCGGGTCCATTCATAAGTAAAAATTGACCACATCGGGTCCATTCATCCATGCTCATATAAAAACATGCAAGATTATATTAAAACAGTCCATTTGAGTTTCATTACAACTCTCTTACAAAAAAATTACATGTCAAAACTAGTTTGTTTCAAAAGTTTTACAAAAGGAGTTATAAAAGCCACAAGTCGGCTTTCTTCACCCTTGCTGCCCCGAATGAGAGTCATTCACCGGTGTATATCCCGCACCTGAAATATTTTCCCGTATATAGTAAGCCACGCCCAGTAGAGTAATTTCCTACAGATGCTACTCCCTACCTAAGTGCATATAAAAATGTGCACATGTAACAATCCACAACTAATATCTATTCCAATAAGAACATGTAGTTCAATGTGAAAATTCTACTATGTCATGTCATGATATGAGATGATACTCACTCATGCACTTTAACCCGAGTCCTCACCGACTCCCACAACACAATGCAATGCAAATGTGTAAAATATTTGTCATTGATGAAATACATTCAATGATCATTTTTGAAATACAAGTCATTGTGTTTATAAAATTAATTCATTGTTTGATGTTTCCCATCGAATGAATACTTTATAAAATAAGTACACTTTTTTAGAATTTCACCTCAGGGGAGTGTACCAACCAGGTATTTTTATAAACCAAAATTATGTGTCTTTGTTGGATAGCGGAGTTTTGAAATCACACCGTAGGTTTCGCAAATCAATACACTTTTCTGGAATTTCACCTTAGGGGAGGGTATGAACCAAAGAGCCGGGTCTTGCACCCGAGGGAGAGTCTAGCCCTTTTTGTTATATCCGATACAAGTTTTTCATGTATGCAACCGTGTAACTTAGTAGGATATTCAATCCCACTTTCCCGAGCTCACCCATCAAACACCAAGTATGGTGATTGATCCAACTATGCACTCACACACCCATACTCATGGTCATGGATGTATTTTTCCCATGCAAATGCAATGTGATACACCATTGCTCAATCAATGTCATGCTCAATGTAATGAATATCAATGAGTCAAATTTAAATCACACATTTCATCATGTATCATGGACAATTATATCGTACGCATATAACCTCTAAAAACTCATCACATTGTCAATATATTAATACACATATATCAACATTTTATCTAACAACAACAACCAAGCATGTCATTACATAATCAAACAATAACACTCTTAATTCTCAAGGTATAATGTAGACATATAACATGCCCACAAAATAGCCCACAAAATAGCCCACATAACAGCCCCTAAACAAGTCACATAACGGCCCCAAAACAGGCTACAAACATAGCCCCTAAACAGGTCACATAGCAGCCCCAAAACAGGCCACAAAATAGCCCATAAACAAGGCATAAAATAGCCCTTAGACAAGTCATAAAACAGTCCACAATTTCAATCCAAAACAGTCACAATTTCAGCCCCTTAACAACCCACAATTTCAGCCCTTTAAATCAGCCCATAAGGTAGAAATAAAATCAAAGTAGGAAGAACTCTACCTCTTGGAGCGTAGAAATGAAGGTGGAACCTTCAAGAACACCAATACAAGCCTCAAAACTTGATTTCTCCAAAGTATCCCCTTTGGATCTTTGGTGAAATCCCTTGTTTTTGGTGTGGTTGCATAGCCCTCGTTGCGTAGATAAAGTTTAATTCTTGGTCCGACGAATTCCTACCGACGGAAGTCCGTAAATCTGAGAAAGAAGATTGAATTTTCTCTTTTTCTTTCTCTCCTTCAGCTCCAACGATACCCACTGGTTTTCAGCAGACAAAGATCTGGAAAAAAAATCAGATTTTAAACCCTTATTTATAATTTTAAAGACTTGGTCCGAGTCGCGCCACATGTCCCCCACTTGTTCGGGTCCGTTTTTGTCCCGAAATGATTAATTTTCGCTCCGGTTCAAGCTCAAATATTTTTATTTCAAATTTATTCAAATTATTTTCCAAAATTTAAAATTTTATTAAAAAATTTGTTTTTGGGTCACCTGAGATCCAACCGTCTCGTAAAACGTAAAAAATTTGATTATCTCGAAATTCGACGGAATTTATCTAGGTAACTAAATTTTGGGAGACGAATTCAACGGTGAGGTCCGTTTCGTCATCAAGATCTATAAGCTTTTAGGTTTACAACCCGTACCGTAGTGACAAATTATTGTTTTGCCATTTTTTGTAAAAAGTTCAAATTTACCCGGGTTTTACAATATGTGGTTATACAGATACTTGAGGTGCAATTTCGAGCGGGTTGAGAGGTCAACTCTAACACAATCCTAGATATATAATATTTAACCCTCATCCTAACCCTAACCCGACTTTAACTTGAGTATTGTCTAAGTTTAATTCAGGTGGAATCGAGTTGAATTCGAATTACTTAATTCGAGTTGATTTCAGATTAAAAATTGGGTTGGATTCAAGTTACTTAATTTGGGATGATAAAAGAGAGAGAAGTGACGAGTGAGATTGGGAGGTTGAAAGTTTGAGACGAGACTTAGACGAGTGAGAGGAGAAGACTAAGAGTCTGAGACCAGATGAGAAACGAGTGATGAGTGTGTGAGGGATCTGAAAGTGATGGAGGCGCAGAGATGAAGACTTAAAGTTAAGTGAAAGTCTGGACTATGAAAAGTGAAAATAAATACTAACTTTAGTTAAATATATTTATGTATATTTGGGTTTAACCTGATTTAATAATCGAGTTTAACCCGATTTTAATATTCGGGTTGAACTCGACAATTCGTGACCTCAACTCGAGGCTTGCTCGAATTTAATTCGGATTGAGATTTTTTTGCCCAGGCCTAGCAGAAGTATTAAAAATTCTAACTCAAACCTTTTTTTTCGAGTTAGGCTCAGGTTGAATTCAAGTTAGCCCACTCAAATTACACCCCTAACAGATAGTGAGGTGAGGAACTCTAATCTATCTGACAATGAATCATGGCATCTTGAGATATATTAAACCCCCTTCCCAAGTTGCTCATCTCGTTTTCTTGTTTTTTAGTTCAACGGTGAGAGTGCTTGGACGAGCATATATGCACCTTGACTAATTTTTCTTTGGTCCGGTCAAAAGTAAGTTATTTACGTCGGGATTAGGATATTCATTAGAGATAAATTCCTCATGACCTGATTTTAAAGAGTTGTTAAGATTTAAACTAAAGATATCTAAATTTACAATTCGTCTATATTACCACTTGAACTACTCTTAGAGTTATGAGATCTAAGATGGCTAGTGATCCAAGCACCACCCATGCATAAAAATTGTTATCCATCGGCTATGATATTATTTGTTCAGAGATAGGAGTATATTCCTTATTTTGTAAATGTTTTGTCTTCTTGAGGTCAAGGGTTCAAGCCTATTTCCCCCTCTCCCCTTCCCCCCCCCCAAAAAAAAAAAAAAACGATCCAAGACCCAATACAAAAATTTAAGTCTAATGGCAATGAACTCCTCTACAGTACATTAAGATATTTTAACTTTTTTTTATTGAATGTAAATTGCTACAAGTACAATACCAAACAAAGAGTCACCTCTTAACACATGAAACCGTTGACATCCTCTGGTCTTAAATGGGGCATAAAATATCCTGGTGGTGCAAGCTGGTGTTGGTTTGTGATAATCATGGTCATACTCATGGTTAGGGCTGTCAAAATTTGACATGACACGATTAATCGACACGAATTAAACGAGTTTGAGTAAGATCTTAACGGGTTTGGATGATAAACGGGTCGATACGCCAAACATGTTTAATAAACAGGTCGTGTTCGGGTGAGACCTGTCAAACTGTTTATTACACGTTTACCTGTTTAAATGAAATTAATCTAATAATAAATTAATAATTATTTAAAAAAATTAACAAAAAAAAAAGAAGTAAAGAAATCAATAAAAAAAAAAAAAGTAAAATAGTAGTTCAAAAACAAAAAAGATGAGATGAGGAACACTTCAAAGACAAAGATAAATCTTATTTGTCCCACATTGGAAAATGAGGGGAGATGATGAGGGTTGAGTTGCCTATAAAAAGCAATGACCTCTTACTCTTTTTTTTTTAATCTTTCAAGTCTTATTTGTCCCTACATTGGAAAATGAGGGGAGATGGAGAGGGTTGAGTTGTCTATAAAAAATAATGACATCTTACTTTTTTTTTTAAGTCTTCAAGTCTTATTTTGTCCCACATTGAAAAATGATGGGAGATAGAAAGGATTGAGTTGCCTATAAAAAGTAATGGCCTCTTACTTTTTTTTTGTAGGCCTTCAAGTTTTATTTTTATGAGATTTGGCTAAAAAATCTTCTTTTTTGAGGTAAGTGCAATTGATAATAAAAAAAAATAGAGTAATAAAATTTGTTAATATAATTTTTTTTAAAATTAAATGGGTTAAACGAGTCGTATCGTGTTATCTGTTTATTAAACGAGTCATGTTTGTATTGAGATGTGTTATCTGTTTATTAAACGAGTCATGTTTGTATTGAGATTTTTTACCCGTTTAACACGAAACCGTTTAACCCTACACGTTTNCCCCTCCCCCCCCCCCAAAAAAAAAAAAAAACGATCCAAGACCCAATACAAAAATTTAAGTCTAATGGCAATGAACTCCTCTACAGTACATTAAGATATTTTAACTTTTTTTTATTGAATGTAAATTGCTACAAGTACAATACCAAACAAAGAGTCACCTCTTAACACATGAAACCGTTGACATCCTCTGGTCTTAAATGGGGCATAAAATATCCTGGTGGTGCAAGCTGGTGTTGGTTTGTGATAATCATGGTCATACTCATGGTTAGGGCTGTCAAAATTTGACATGACACGATTAATCGACACGAATTAAACGAGTTTGAGTAAGATCTTAACGGGTTTGGATGATAAACGGGTCGATACGCCAAACATGTTTAATAAACAGGTCGTGTTCGGGTGAGACCTGTCAAACTGTTTATTACACGTTTACCTGTTTAAATGAAATTAATCTAATAATAAATTAATAATTATTTAAAAAAATTAACAAAAAAAAAAGAAGTAAAGAAATCAATAAAAAAAAAAAAAGTAAAATAGTAGTTCAAAAACAAAAAAGATGAGATGAGGAACACTTCAAAGACAAAGATAAATCTTATTTGTCCCACATTGGAAAATGAGGGGAGATGATGAGGGTTGAGTTGCCTATAAAAAGCAATGACCTCTTACTCTTTTTTTTTTAATCTTTCAAGTCTTATTTGTCCCTACATTGGAAAATGAGGGGAGATGGAGAGGGTTGAGTTGTCTATAAAAAATAATGACATCTTACTTTTTTTTTTAAGTCTTCAAGTCTTATTTTGTCCCACATTGAAAAATGATGGGAGATAGAAAGGATTGAGTTGCCTATAAAAAGTAATGGCCTCTTACTTTTTTTTTGTAGGCCTTCAAGTTTTATTTTTATGAGATTTGGCTAAAAAATCTTCTTTTTTGAGGTAAGTGCAATTGATAATAAAAAAAAATAGAGTAATAAAATTTGTTAATATAATTTTTTTTAAAATTAAATGGGTTAAACGAGTCGTATCGTGTTATCTGTTTATTAAACGAGTCATGTTTGTATTGAGATGTGTTATCTGTTTATTAAACGAGTCATGTTTGTATTGAGATTTTTTACCCGTTTAACACGAAACCGTTTAACCCTACACGTTTGACACCCCTACTCATAGTAGATGTCAATTCAAAAGCATCTTTCTAAATGTCCTCAAATCAATAAGGAAAAAAAGTTCTTATTTTAGCAATAATTAAAATAAAAATTAATTATTCAATTTAATTTAAAATATAATTTAAAATTTTTATAAAAAAATAATTATTCAAATATGTTCATGTGAATGCCTATGCATTATAACAAAAACCCCACAAATATAAAAAAAAAAAAAAAAAAGGAAAATGGGAAGAGATAGTGATAGAACTATATTGAGTAAATTATACGTATGATCCTTAAATTATGATTCTTATGTCAATTAAGTACTTGAATTTTTTTTTTGTCAATTAAGTTCCTGAACTTTCTAATTGTATCAATTGAGTTATTATGTTTGTCTTCGTTAGAGTGTGTCATTCATGTGACCATATGGAACAAAAAGACAAAAGGTTCAATTGATATAATTAGAGAATTTTAAATTTTAATTGACGCACAAAAAAAATTTGAAAGCTTAATTGACACAAGAGTCATAGTTTGAGAGCGTACACTCATTTGTGTCAAATTCACAACTTTCTGTTAGAAAGTCTAGTGAAGGCAAAGAGAGAATAATGGAGATACAAAAAAAAAATTCAAAAGATTTAGGAACGTTTTTATATTATTTTTTTATAAAAAAAATAGAACTAATTTTTATTTTTTTGTGATAAAAAATAAAAATATTAAACATATTTGGTAGTCATTTATATTTAAAAAATTATAAAAATAAAAATAAAAAACCTATTTAATATTATACCAAAAATTCACTACCCAAACCCCACTAACCACCCAAAACCACCATCAAAACCCACCACCTAATTCCACTCTCAACCACACCACTTAAACCCATAATCCACCTTTACCATTGAAACCCATCACCACAACTACTGAAAATCCACCTCCAACCTAACCCCCGAAATCCACTCCCAATCACACCACCGAAATCCACAACCCACCCCCCACTAAAATCCACTATCACAACCACTGAAACCCACCCCCACCACCACAACAACAATCGAAATTAACTGCCCACCTAGTAAAACCTACTATCCATCCTCGAAAGCCACCACCACCCACTATCCACCCCCGAAAATCCACCAACATCCAACCCCACCACCAACCCCGAAATCCACCCTTGAAAATTTCCCAACAAAATCTATCGAAGAAGAGCGAGAGAGAAAGAGATGGAGAGAGAGACCGATAATTTAGATATCTAAAAAAAAATGGAAAGAGAGAGGGTCTTTTTATACTAAAGTAAGAAAATTCACTTCCTATTGTTAAGGAGGATCAAAATCAATCTCATTATATGGGACATTTTAAACGTGCACGATTGTTTTTCTTAATATTGAGCAGTTAAAAATAAATAAAAACTTTCTCTAAACATTTTTTTTTACAATAAAATGAAATAAAAAACAAAAAAAAAAACACAAAAACACGAGTTATGAAACGGTACTTAATTGAGACGTGATATGTGCAGTGTACTCCACTATATTTGTTCCAATTTCAGGCGCTCCTGCGATTTACTCTTTGAGTGCAATATGCCTCCTTCCTCGGCGACGGCGGGTGCGCACCGCACCTCCACCTCCACCTCCTTCCTTCTCCTCCATCCTTCTGCTACAGCCACTCTCATTCACAGAAAACCATTCTTAATTTCTTGTACTCTCACTCCATTTCCATCAAAACCCATCAAGAGAAAAAACTATCTCCGCCCCAAAATCCTCAAAACCATAATAAAACCCTCTCCCAACCCCCTCCCCCAATCACCCCCAGCAAACCCAATTAATCCCAGTGAAACTCCACCTGAACAAAGTCCTAATTTTCCCTTCGACCAATTCTCCAGTGAAGAGCTAAAACTGCCAGAAACTCATGACTTTCGGAGCTCTGAAATTTCCCAGTCCGTTGGAGTTATCGACGGCAGTGTTGGTAAATTTTCTAGAACTTCTGTCCTTAAATTTGGGTTGTGGTTGGTTGGTGTCTTTATGCTTCAGACAATTTGTGCTGTTTGGTTACTTGAGTCAGCTAATTCTGACCCCAAAGGTGAAGATTTGGATGGTGAAGATAAAGCCAAGGTTCTAGAATTGCGGTCAGTGGGAATTGAAAAAACCAAATTGAATTTTTTCTCAAACAAAAGAAAAACTGAACAACTGGGGCTTGAACAAGGTGGAATTGCATACGTGTATGACAGTGACTTCGAGGAGAAAATTGACGAAATTCGAGAAATGGCGAGGGAAGCAAGACTGAGGGAAAAATTGGAGTCTAAGACAAATGATTTGGAGGATAGTGATGATGATGATGTTCTTATTAGAAGTGGGATCAAAAAGGAGGTTGATAAACGATTAGTTAATTTAAGGAAGATGTTGCGCAAGAGTCGTGAGAGAATATCAGTGTCATCGGTTAGTTACTTGGGCAAAGAGGTTAAGGTTGAAAACGGGGTGGATGAGGGTGGGTTGGGAGTGAAAGAGGTGAATGAGGCATTGATGTTTAAGAAGAAGTTTAAATTTAGAAGTCCATCGATTGAGCCAAGTGATAAACCTAAGGGGTTCATGGGTCGGGAAAAACATGGTGTTAGTAAGGCGAAAGACACAAGTTTGGATAGTGAAAATGAAATTTTCAGAAGTGGAGGTGTTGGTGATAACGGTGCGGATTTGTTGGACAAAGAACAGCAATTAGACCTGCCTGGTAGCAGTTTGCAAGAAAATGTTCCGATGTCTTTGGAGGATGAGAGTGGAAGGGAACCACTGAAGGAAGAGACTAAATCCATGCAATCTAAAAGAAAGAAATTAGGCAAAGCAAGGGAGACTTCAAAACTGAGAAAGGCAATGGGAGTTGCAAAACCGAAACCTGGAACTGGTAATGTTCTTAAAACGCCATAAATCTGTGAATTCTGAATGGTGTTCAAATGTTCCTGCCATGTTTCCTCTATCTATTTTCATGATTGTTTTGTAATTATGTTTGCTCATTGTCACTTGAGACTTCTTTATGGCAATAGCTTGAAACTACAAATTATAATCATATGTCCCACAATGTTTATTTGATATTTTGGCCTTGCAATGGTGTATGAGTTTGGTACGACACTAAAAAATTGTTGAAAACCAAGATCAGAAAGTAAGCAGAGTTGATTCTACCCAACCATTTTCTGCCTTAATGGCTTTTCAAACTGCTGCATAAGTATTGCAGCATGTCTTTTGTGCAATCAATAAAACATTAGGTATATTTATGTTGAGGATTTGTGCATTTTCAGTTATTTTTTAGATTGACAGTTATCTTGCAGGAGAGAAGAAGCTATGAGAGCCCTCAGGTTGAAGCTGTGAAATTTGGAGAATCGAGCAAGCTGGAGGGACCACATTCTCAAATCTTCAGCAAAGACAACCAGAATAAAATTGTAACATCCGACCACCATAATGTATTGAGTAGGAATGGCAGTTTGAATAGCAAAAAAGCGGCAAACACACAATCGGCCAATGAAGTTGGGGATAATAGAACAAACAAGGGGACTGATTTGTGGTGGTCGGGTCTTCCATATGTTCTGGTATGTTGATATTACCCGCACATGGTAATCTCTTCTCTACTTTTTTCCAAGAACAACGTATTGTACAAAGCTCAAAATTATCACGTATTGAAATGAGAAAATAAATGCTTTGAATCTCTGTTTGAAACTTTAAGAAATAAATTGAATATCATTGGAATCTTGAAAAAACAAGAGTCTCAATGGCGTATAAAACAAATGAAATACAACCAGAGTGTCAATAGCGAAAGTGAGCCCATTCTTTCTGGCTCGAGCGACAGTTCGTAATTTAGGCTAACCTCAGCGTAGCATCGGAGGGACTTTAGCCACATCTTAACCCATGTTTGAAGAATGAGGCGATCAAGAAAGTCCTCCCCAAAATGTCACGAAGACCTTCTCTTTCCTTTTCATTATAAACAAAGCGAAGACTCTACTTAGCCTTATCAAGAATGGAGCTCTGTGCGACACCCGGCGTTAGCACTCCTCAATCTGGAAATGCTAACCACAGTTCAACGGTAACAGGAATATGCCTGACGGCAAAAGCAAAGGAAAAAAATGGAGCTGAATTAGTGTTGTTAAGGACATCAGATGCCTTTGGCATTAATAGCTTCTTAGAAGATATTCTTAATTATAGACCATATTGGGTTGTCAAATTGATCTGAAAATTATTGCATCGCTGTATGAAACGAAAATACAAGTATAATAAACAGTATAAAGCTTAACAACTAGTATCATTGTATTCATTTCCATTGTATGTCATAGTGGTTAAAGGGTGTTGTGATAATTCATGCTTAGGACATACATTCTGCTTTTTCTCTTACCGATCATATTTTGTTTCAGGCCATTTTCATGTGTAGAGGTCATGATGGTGAAGGATCAAAAGGGCTATTTACCATAAGAAGCATATCTCAGGCAGAGGGTGACCCATCTCATACTCTTGCTTTTGAGGACCGTAGTGATGCCACTAACTTTTGTTATATTCTGCAATCCTTCTTCGAAGATCTGGGTGATTTTAGTTCTGACGTTGTACCTCTATCAATAAAAGTAAGAACTGAACCTGCCCTTAGAGAACCCCAAAATTGTGGCTCTCTGTATAAGAAATGGTATTATTTATATGCATGTCTGTACCATTGTTAGGTGAGTTGGACTCGATGTTCAAATGGATCCTTATGGAGGTTTTGGTTGACTAGTTTATGAATACTTGATTCATATTTTAGGTGAACTCGCCTTAGATGAAGCTTTGGGAGACACTAACATGAGTACCTGTCAAAGTGTTTCTGTTACAATGTCCTAACTCCTTGTTGTCAAATGATACTGTCATGCCATTCCTGTACAGCAGTGACAGAATTTCTTTTATTGAAGAGCAACACTGATACTGAATTGGAAACCTAAACTTTATCAGGAACTTGATGAGGCAGTGAAATCAAATGCTATGAAGGTTCTTGTTGTGAAGAAGGGACAACTTAACCTTTATGCTGGGCAACCACTAGCTGAAGTTGAGATGACCTTGCGTTCTTTGGTTGGAAGAAGTTGAAGCAGGAGGTGGAGCGACTTCAAAATGGATATTGGCTTTTTTTGGAGCTAATACACGATGAATTTGGGAACACTATTTGCATCATCTTCCTTCCCCGATGAAGCATTTTCAGGCAAGAATGGGTTGAATTCCTGTATTGACCACTTAATACTGGCATTGGTGGAGTACGGAGAGAGGCAAACTTGTAAGGTGATTAACAATGTACAGATTCTTAGTTGGCTTAAATAGCTCGAGGAATTCAATTATAATTGCATTTTTTTTCTTTGATTACAGATTACGTGTATTTCTGATTAAATTACATTTTTCCAATTTGTAGAACTAGTTAGGTATAACTTCATCTTTTAATTACGTTGGTGCTGAAGTAATTTTGCTCCTTCCTTGCTTGGAACATTTAATCATTAACACTGGTCTACTCGAGTGGAAGCCCGGTGGCTGAATGGAGTTACTGAGATGCCATTGAGTTTCCTGGATCATGTTTAGGGTTTAATGGCATAAATGCTCCAATTTTGTACTGCACGTACATAGCATGCAGAGAGAGAGAGAAGAAGAAAAACTTCACCCATAACATGCAAACCCCAAATACAACCATGTTAATAGTACATGGCATTACATGAACTGAAATCTGAACTTTATATTAAGCAGAGCACTACCTTCTGCTGCTGCCCCTAACCTTGCTCATACTAATATAGTTACCACTAACGCGAACTCTACCAAGAAGAGATGAGTTTAACTATGGCTTGTGCATGAATAGCTTGCAAATTAGATTGGCAAAAGTCTTGCCATGACTCCTGCTTCTGCTCTTCATTTTCTTCATTCTCTGTGAACGCCTCATATATCGATGTCACAATACTTCGAGCAGCTTCTCTTGCATCAGGAAGCCTATCGTTCAACAAATCTGCGGCCATTTGAATCAATGAAACTAACCCAAATTCTTTCATTCCTTGCAGCCCCTAGAATTGAAATCAATAGAATAGAAGATCAGATCCGTGGCCAATACATGGTCATGAACCATAATCTTTCTTAGGAACAGCTTCTACAACGATAGATAGACGACACTACAATAAAAAACTTCGTTTGTGATTTCGGAATATAGACTTAATATTTGATATGTGACTGCCTTCGTATTATTTGCTAATGAGAAACCATCTTGTTGGTGCATGCTTAAAATATAATATATTAGCATTTATTGGAGAAGAATAGTAAATCCAAAGTACATGTACCATCTTTGAGGCACAGAGAGAGATTGAAATTGCAGCTTTGGCTCTGACTCGGGGGTTGGCATGGCTAGCATAAGCCCGGAGCTTGTGGAGCAAAGGGAGAGGCGTCATGAATTCAACCATTTTGTTGAGTGCTCTGTCTGCTTCTTCACATACAAATTTTTTATCCTGAGAAGCTTTCAGCAGTAGCTGCAGCAGCTGTGGAACCACCAAACAACAATCACAACCCATCAAACAACAATCCCCCATTGATCATCATACCAAAATTCTCATCACTAAACCCATCGTCGTGACTCAGATCCGACACCCGGAAAAGTTTATGCAGAGTGATACATAATTAAGAGCTTTGAATATTCATTGTAGAACACATTTTAAAACTCAACTGAAAGATGACAATANTTTCCAATTTGTAGAACTAGTTAGGTATAACTTCATCTTTTAATTACGTTGGTGCTGAAGTAATTTTGCTCCTTCCTTGCTTGGAACATTTAATCATTAACACTGGTCTACTCGAGTGGAAGCCCGGTGGCTGAATGGAGTTACTGAGATGCCATTGAGTTTCCTGGATCATGTTTAGGGTTTAATGGCATAAATGCTCCAATTTTGTACTGCACGTACATAGCATGCAGAGAGAGAGAGAAGAAGAAAAACTTCACCCATAACATGCAAACCCCAAATACAACCATGTTAATAGTACATGGCATTACATGAACTGAAATCTGAACTTTATATTAAGCAGAGCACTACCTTCTGCTGCTGCCCCTAACCTTGCTCATACTAATATAGTTACCACTAACGCGAACTCTACCAAGAAGAGATGAGTTTAACTATGGCTTGTGCATGAATAGCTTGCAAATTAGATTGGCAAAAGTCTTGCCATGACTCCTGCTTCTGCTCTTCATTTTCTTCATTCTCTGTGAACGCCTCATATATCGATGTCACAATACTTCGAGCAGCTTCTCTTGCATCAGGAAGCCTATCGTTCAACAAATCTGCGGCCATTTGAATCAATGAAACTAACCCAAATTCTTTCATTCCTTGCAGCCCCTAGAATTGAAATCAATAGAATAGAAGATCAGATCCGTGGCCAATACATGGTCATGAACCATAATCTTTCTTAGGAACAGCTTCTACAACGATAGATAGACGACACTACAATAAAAAACTTCGTTTGTGATTTCGGAATATAGACTTAATATTTGATATGTGACTGCCTTCGTATTATTTGCTAATGAGAAACCATCTTGTTGGTGCATGCTTAAAATATAATATATTAGCATTTATTGGAGAAGAATAGTAAATCCAAAGTACATGTACCATCTTTGAGGCACAGAGAGAGATTGAAATTGCAGCTTTGGCTCTGACTCGGGGGTTGGCATGGCTAGCATAAGCCCGGAGCTTGTGGAGCAAAGGGAGAGGCGTCATGAATTCAACCATTTTGTTGAGTGCTCTGTCTGCTTCTTCACATACAAATTTTTTATCCTGAGAAGCTTTCAGCAGTAGCTGCAGCAGCTGTGGAACCACCAAACAACAATCACAACCCATCAAACAACAATCCCCCATTGATCATCATACCAAAATTCTCATCACTAAACCCATCGTCGTGACTCAGATCCGACACCCGGAAAAGTTTATGCAGAGTGATACATAATTAAGAGCTTTGAATATTCATTGTAGAACACATTTTAAAACTCAACTGAAAGATGACAATATCTTACAATGAGAGTTCGAAGTGTTACAAAACGGCTACTATAACAAAAAAAAAAAATGACATATGAGTGCATACCATTTGGTCAAATGCATCAGAATTTGTGAACTCGAGCAACTTATCTCCAAAGGCCTTGAAGATATCAGATGAAGCCATGATGGAGGTCTTGCACAAGGCACTTCTAGGGTTCTTCATTGCCTTCACCAGCACCAACATAATCTTCTCTCTGTGTGCATGAACATGCATTAGTACAGTCTCATTTCTCAACACAATTTCAAAAACTATATAAACTAAAAACAAGAGAGAAATGTCTTACAAATTGGGGAGCAAAAGAGAGGAGTGATATAGTGCAAAACGCCTGGCATTGTTCAGTGAGTCGCAGACCTTCAACCAATCTTTCGATTCTAAGCCTTCCACCAGGCTCTGAAATTCTCAAAAATCAAGAGAACGCAAAACTTCAGAGTCAAGCCACAAATGGGTATTCTAAAAAACATTAAACTTCAAATTCCAAAGAGAAAAAAAAATGAGACCATAAACACAGGGAGAGAGAGAGAGAGAGAGACTTGAATTTTGGTTTCAGGGTCTGGTAAGGATTTGAGATTGTCGGAAGAGACATAGTCGATTATGGCCTCTCCATTAGCAGGTGGCATTGGGGCTCTGTTTTCGTCATTGACAGCAAGATCGGATTGATTTTGGATGGAGACCGCAACTTTGGCTTGCTTTTTGGTTCTTGCCGTTGTGATTGTTGGTAGAGCATTGTCAAGGGGTCTCAGCGCCATTGATTCACTTGTAATTCTTCAAGACTGCAATTTAGAGAAGAGAGGAGAGAGAGAGAGATGAAGAAATTCCTTTTATCCTTTGATATACAAATGTTTGGCAACGGTCCTCTTGGAATTTAAAGTTTGAAGATAAGGTCTTTGCGAAGGAAGGTCGAACTTTTTTCGTAACGGTCACTTTTAGTTTGAAATCAATGCAATTTATACAATGCAATGATGTTTGTTTTTGATGCTTTTTGTGGGGAAAAAAATATTAGGATGAATTTTATACGAGCAATACTATATATCTCAAATTTATAATTTAAATTTACATTTTAAATTAAGGGGCATCATTAGATTAGTGGATCCTATTTAAAAAAGTTGATAGGATCCACTAATCCAACGGTTCCTTCATTTAGAATGTAAATTTGGTATACATACTATTTCCCATTTTATATTATTGGATCAAAAAAATTAAAAATTAGATTAATTTTGATTGTTATTGTGCTTTTATAAATTAAGAATTTAATTTTTTAATTGTAATATTCAATAGATTAGCAATAACTTATGTACCTAAAAGATATCAAAACTTGAGCGTTGGTCTTACATCTATATTTCAAATAGTAATTTATTTTTTATTATGTAATTTAAAACTAAAGTGAAAAGAGATAAAATAAGAGAAATGTTGGTGAGAGAGAAGAAAGAAGTATGTGTGGATTTGCGAGTTATTTGATATTTGAAGTTGTGTGACGCAGATGATAATTTTTAGCCAAAAAAAAAATATTATGGTATAAATTTTATACTGTTCGATTAAAATAGATGAAAATTTTATCAATTTTAACCGTTGTTATATTTTTATAAATTGAGAATTTAATTTTGTGATAATAATATTCGATGGATATATCACAAGTTCAAATATAAAAATTTAGGACGAGCGGGTCCTTTATGAATAGGGGAAAATAATACATGGTCATACAGCTTCTTTATTATTTGGCACTAGAGATGTCTAGTTTAGTGTTGAAACACTGTGGTGAATGATATTAAAAGCTTCAATTTTTTTTTTTGGGGGGGGGGGAATATGGCACGAGAGAGTATTGCATTGCGTAAGGTAGAAATAAGGATCTTAAGATAAATAAAAAATAAAAGTTATAAAAAAATAAAACTAAAAATTATTATATTCGTAAAAAATAGAGGTAATATTTATATAACATAAATTAAGGGATAATTCACTTAACTCATTTGAATATATTAGCAATGCATGACGTGTGTTGCACGTGAAAATTTTTGTTGAAACATTTGATAAAATACATAATTTTTTTTTTAATTATATAGCTACATTAGATATTATCTCATATTTCTCATACTTAAATTGTTTGTATTCTCTTCATAACTATAAACATTCAATGAACTCATTTTTTATGATTATTTCATTCGAGTTACCAAGTAGTAAAATTTATAGATTTATTTTATTTTTGTCTTTCTTGTGTTTTACTTTGTGCATCAGTAATTTTTTATCAAATTATTGTGATTGTAAATGAAGAGATAAGATAAATATATCCATTGTTAGGCATTGAAGATGATATTGTATCAATAGGGTTGTCAACATCTATATAATAAAATTAGTAATAACTCGTGTCTGAAGGCACCAAATAACTCAAAAAACCTCAAACAATACTTTATTTTTTATTATTTTTTTTAGTAACACAATTCAAAATCAATTTGAAAATAATATTTTCTAAAAAAATTTGACAATTTTTTTCTAAAAACACGACCCCTAAAAAATATCAACATATACACAATTTATATATTTAATCATTATATCTAAAAAATATCTTTTTTTTTTGAGTTGGAGTCGATGTTGGCGGGTGTGTTGGCAGATATATAGAGTGAATATGAGATAGAGAAAGAGAGTTATATGAGACATGAAATAAACTTATGAGAGATAAGAATATGATATATACATATTTATAGAGAGAGAGAGAGAGTTATATAAGATATAAGAGAGTATGTGTTTAAATTATTTTTTAGAGAATTCTTGTTATTAAACTTTTAATGAGTATTAGATATATTTTATTAATATTAGACATATATAACCGTTGAAACCAAACTCTCTAACTCTTATTACTTTATTATTATATGCATTTAGGATAGTGTGTGTGTGAATGTGAGATAGATAAAGAGAAAGAATTATATGAGAGATGAAAGTGTGTGTTTAAAATATGAGAGATAGGAGAGAGATAGAGAGATGTCAAAGGAATAAACATTCAATTATGATCACATAAATATATATATAGATCGATAGATATATATAAGATGACATACGTGTGCAGAGCTACATAGGGGTGAGGGTGGACCCATAATTTTTTTTAAAAAATATGATATGTATATTTATATTTATATATTCTAAAAATTATACACATATTTTTTACCTGTACTCATCCTATAATTTTTTTATTTCAATTATTTAGTATTTTTATTATAATAAGACTTTCTTCAGATGACCTTTATTTTATTATGAATTTTTGCTAGTGAAAATTCTTTTCATTGATCTTTATTTGACTTTACTTTTTATACGAAAAATGTTTATTTTTTTAATATGTTTACCTCTTAAATTTCAGTTTAATATTTTTACTATGCTAATATTTTAGTGATAATGTTTAAAATATTGCTTGTTGAATAAATTTAATAGATTGTTAGTGAATAACTGATTTTTTTTACAATGGTGATAATTAGTTAATTTTTTTATACTATACATTATTTTTTGGCATTTTTATGTTAAATAGACTTCATGTATCAAAGTCCAGAGAAAGTTATATCAGAGG